CCGAAGGATTATATTTACCTTTGCAGGCTAGGTTATTCTTGGTGTTATTGTAATTCCTTGCCTTCTAGAATATCATATTCCTATGCCCTCCAGTTCTTTAATGTAGAAGCTGCTAAATACTGTGTAATCCTGATTGTGGCTCCATGATATTTGAATTGTTTCTTTCTGGCTGCTTGCAGTATTTTCTCCTTGACCTGGGAGTTCTGAAATTTGGCTATAATATTCCTATAAGTTTTCATTTTAGGATCCTTTTCAGGAGGTGGTCAGTGGATTTTTTCAATTTCTATTTTACCCTCTGATTCTAGGATATCAGGGCAATTTTCCTTGATAATTTCTTGAAATATGATGTCTAGGCTATTTTTTTTGATCATGACTTTCAAGTAGTCCAATAATTCTTTAAATGATCTCTCCTCAGTCTGTTTTCTACGTCAGTTCTTTTTCCAATGAGATAGTTCACAATTCTTTTTTTTCATCTTTTGATTTTTTTGATCGAGTTTTAATGTGTCATGGAGTCGTTAGCTTACACTTGTCCAATTCCAATTTTTAAAGGAATTATTTTCCTCAGTGATCTTTTGTAATTCCTTTCCCATTTGGTCAGTTCTACTTTTTAAGGAGTTGTATTCTTCAGTGAATTTTTGTACATTTTTTCCCATCTTTTTTGTGCTTTCTTTACCAAGCAATTGATTCTTTTTTCGTGATGTCTTGCATCACTTTCATTTCTTTTCCCAGTTTTTCTATTACCTTTTTTATTTTATTTTAAAAATCCTTTTTGAGCTCTTCCTAGAGTTCTTTGTGAACCTGAGACTAATTCATATTTTTCTTTCAGACCTTAGATGTAGGCATTTTGACATTGTTGTTCTGTTTTGATCTTCCCTGTCACCATAGTAACTCTCTATGGTCAAGTTCTTTTTTAAAATTTTTTTTTCTCATTTTTTCAACCTATTGTTTTTTTACTTTTAACTTTATGTTAAAGTTCGGCTCTGCTCCTGTGGTGCTGTCCAAGTTTCTTGTATGGACTGTGTTGTTGTTGGGCTGTGCCAGGGGCTATGGGCCCTTAGCACTTGGCTGCACCAGGGGCCACGGGCTTCAGGGCTTTGTTGCTAGCCTGTCCCAGGGCTTGGGGCCCAGCTGCTGACTTGCTGGGGCATGGCCTGCTGATGGCTTGCCCAGATGCTACATGTAGTGGACTACATTCTCCCTTTACTCCAGTGAGACAGACCTTTCCTGCTAACTTTCTGAGTTTTCTTGGGCTGGAAAATTGTTTCACCCTATTCTTTTGTTGGTTCTATAGCTTCAGAATTCATTTTGAGATGTTACAGCTTTTTGGAGGTCAATTTGGAAGAGTTCAGGCAAGTTCCTATCTTACTCTGCCATCTTGGCTCCACCCATTCCCCTGCTTATCTCTTTTAATTAAGTCTATTTTTGCTTTTGCCTGGTCTGAGATTGCTACCCTTGCTTTTTTTACTTCAGCTGAAGCATAGTAGATTGTGTGCCCCAGCCCCTTATTTTAACTCTGTATGTGTCTCTGTGTTTCAAGTGTGTTTCTTGTAAACAACATATTGCTCGATTCTGATTTCTAAGCCATTGCGCTGTCTGATTCCATTTAAGGGTGAGTTCATCCCACTCACCTCCACAGTTATGATTACTAGCTGTGCATTTCCCTCCATCCTATTTTCTTCTGTTTATTTTTCTCTATCTCTTTTCATCCTGTCTCTCCTCCAAAGTCAACTTTACTTCTGACCACTGCCTTCTTTTATCTTTCCTCCCTTTTATCACCCCCCCTCCTTTCCCTTATCTCCTTCCCCTCCTATTTCCTTGTTGGGTAAGATATATTTCTATACTCAATTGAGTATCTATCTATCTATCTATCTATCTATCTATCTATATATATATATGTATATATTTTCCATCTTTGAACCAATTTAGATGAAAGTAAGGTTTGGGCATTGCCCACCCTACAACATCCCCCTGCCCCCTCCACCATAAAATCTTTTCCTTGAATACCACTTTTATTGAGATAATTTTGCCCATCTTCTTCTCCTTTTGCCCTTCTCCCAGGGCATCCCTTTTATCCCCTATCTTTTTTTTATGTCATCCTAACATGAACAACTCACTCTTGCACCCTCTGTCTATGTAGACTTTTTGTAACTGCCCTAATAATGATAAAGTTCTTAGGAGTTATATGTATCATCTTCCCCATATAGAAATGTAAATAGTTTAATTTTATTGAATCCTTTATAATTTCTCTTTCATGTTTACCTTTTTGCGCTTCTCTTGAATCTTATATTTGAAAATCAGATTTTCTATTCAGCTCTGGTCTTTTCATCAGGGATACTTGAAAGTCTTCTATTTCGTTAAATATCCATTTTTTCCCTTGAAAGATTATACTCAGTTTTGCTGGGTAAGTTATTCCTGGTTGTAATCCTAGCTCTTTTACTTTCTGGAATATCATATTACAAGTTATCCACTCCTAAAATGGTATCTGCTAAATCTCGTGTGATCGCTGTTGTTCCATGATATTTGAATGGTTTCTTTCTGGCTGTCTGAAGTATTATCTCTTTTAACTTGGAGCTCTGGAATTTGGATATGATATTCCTAGAATTTCCATTTGGGGATTTCTTTCAGGTAGTTATTAGTGGTTTTTTTTTCAATTTCTGTTTACCCTTTTCTGTTTATCTTGGTTCCTAGCACACTGGTGCAATTTTGACTTATAATTTCCTTTAATATGATGTCTATGCTCTTTCTTTGGTCATAGTTTTCAGGTAGTCCAATGATTCTTTAAATGATCTCTCTTCTGTTTTTTTTTCATTCTTTTTACTTTGTTTTATCATTTTTTGATATCTCATTGAATCATTCCACTTGCCCAATTCTAATTTTTAAGGAATTATTTTCATCAATGAAGTTTTGTACCTCTTTTTCCTTTTGGCCTGTTCTGTTTTTTAAGGTGTTATTTTCTGAAGTATTTTTGGTACCTATTTTACCAAGTTGTCAATTGTCCTTTCATAATTTTCCTCCTTTGTTTTCATTTCTTTACCTAATTTTTCCTCTACCATTCTTATTTGATTTTGAAAATCATTTTTAGCTCTTCTAGGCATTTTTGATGAGCTGATGTCCAATTTATATTTTTCTTTGATTGTAGTTATTTTGACTTCATTGTCTTCTGAATTTGTCTTTTGATCTTCTTTGTCATTTCCTTCCTTCCATAGTAGTTTTTTATGGTGAGGATCTTTTTTTAGTTTGTTTTTTGCTCATTTTTTCACCCTGTTTCTTGGCTTTGAACGTTATGTTAAAGTTAGGCTCTATTCCTTGCATGGTGGGGTGGAATGGCACTGTCCCAAGCTTCAGGTTTTTTCACACTGCTATTTTCAGAACTAGTTGTTCTGGGGCTTTGAAAGTTTTTGGTGCTTCCAAAGTGGTGTCTTCTGGGGAGAGGTGGGATCACTGCTCTCTTGGTCTTCACTGTGGTCTTTACCCAAGAAGGACTCCTGATCACTTGGGATTGGAAATGATACTGCTCCTCAGGGACCTTGTTCCCTCTTGACCAAAAATGCTTCTCTCTACTCTTGAACTGTGATTCAGAAGTGAGTATAGGCAATGGAGCTGCCAAATACTGTCCATTACTACATCTGGCACAGGGCTCCCCTGTAATCTCTTTCTGACCAGTTCCTATGTATCCTTCTCATCTCTGACTTCTGAAACTGCTGCTTTCTTACCTAGTCCCACCACTGATTTTGCATTCACATAGTCTGTGGGCTAGCCTTCACCCCTATCACAGATCACTCCTTCCAACCTCCTAAGTTTCTAGGGTTGGAAAAATGTCTCTCCCTGATCTTTTGTTGGCTTTGCCACTCCAGAATTCTATTTGAGGCATTATTTCAAAGTTGTTTGGAGAGGAATGTTGGGAGAGCTTTGCAGAGTTCTTCCTCTACTCTGACATCTTAGCTCCACCTCTCAGTTGATGTTCTTAATGGATTTAGAAGATAATTACACTCAGTATTACAATGGAACTCATGTCTTAGCAAAAGATGATGGACCTCAATGCTCCATGGACACCAAAATTAACATTTTGACTATGCTTATATGTACTCATGGGGAGCTAAGGGGAAAGTTAGAAATAGAAAAGTAGTATCTAGTAGGATTTTGATAACAGTCTTTGCAGTTACTGTTTTCAGCACATCAGTTCTAGTGTTAGGTGAAGAAAAAGGTAGTAATTAGCAGACTCAAATGAAGTCCTTACCTGACCAGTAGGAACACATTTTTCTTGTGTTCACTTCAAATGGTGTACAATAGGATGCTGGCAGTAATTACAATTTTTTACTTTGTTCGATGATATGAGGTAGGGAGCATCAGTGTTCCCCATATATCTGTCAATTTGCCAGATTAACAAGTATCCAACATCTTGAACAGTGAAGCCCCCTCCTCCTTTTTATAAAGCAACTGTAACCACTACCACCTCCAAGCTTTTTTAACAGAGATTTACAACATATGAATTTAATTTTTATTTTTATTCACAGCTCACATGTATTCATAACCTTTTTTAGAATGAACCATCATGTATTTAGTTTTAATTTTTGTTTTAGTTTTTTATTCCACCTTCTAAAACTTCTAGTTACTTTTGCACGAGGTATACATTTTATTATTTTCATCATACTACACCATCAAAATTGGGATTCTAACAGGATCCTGGAGTTTATTTTTAAAAAAACAAGTGCATCTTGTTCATAATTTATCACTTAGTGAAATAATAATAAAAAATATAAAAGATAAAAATTCTTGATAATGCTTGTTCACATTTAATATAAACAACTATTGGTTATTTGCCTTTTTTACAAATTTCATAGTAAATGTTTTCTCAAATGTCTTACACAGTAAACTTCCAAATTATTTTCTTAACTTTTAAGATATCTTTTTCTCATATTATTACCTTGTAAAGTAGCAAAACAAAGACATTTCAGGGACAGTAAAAAATATGGTATTGTTTTTTTTTTTTTTTTGCAAAGAACTTACAGGAAAGAGATGAACATATTAGAAAGTTACAAGAGGAAATCATTGAAATGCAAAAAAATACTCGAGAACAGCTTAATGAAAAAGCCACACAACTAGAAGAGCTAATGGAGAAACTGGAGCGGCACTGTGAGAGAAAAGAGGACCTAAAACAGCAGTTGAAGGAAAAGGAAGCAGAACTTGAGGAAATTGGGAAAGCCTACAGGTATGAGACAATATCATCATCATCATCATCATCATTATCATAGCTAGCATTTATTACGCACCTACTTTGTAACAGGCATTGTGCTAATAAGCACTTTACAAATATTAGCTCATTTAATTCTCACAGTAATCCCGGGAAGTAGGTGTTATTGTTATTATTCCCATTTTACAGATGAAAAAAGTAGGGCAAAAGAGGCTAAATGACTTTAGCCTAAGGTCACACAGCTAGTACGTAGCTGTGGCTGGATTTGGACTCAGGCTTTCCTGACACCAAGATCAGAACTCTATCCACTACACTGCCTTGCTGCCTTCTGAATGAATGAAAAGCTATTATGGTATATTAAATTGACATGAACATTTCTTTCTAAACTCTTTTAACTTTCATTTCAGTGCAATTAATAAAAAGTGGCAAGATAAAGGAGAACTACTAAGTGGTCTTGAGGCACAAGTTAAACAAATGAAAGAAAAATTTGAAACCAAGGAAAAGAAACTCATTGAAGAAAGAGACAAAAGTCTTCAAAATCAAAAGTAAAATTTAGTTTTAAATAACCCTTGGAATTTCTTGTGTTTAGAAGCAGGCATTTATGTTTGTAGGAAAATATCCTTTTAGAAAATAATTAAGTAAAACTACCAAAGAAAAAGACTAATTTGTACATGCTTCCTATAGGGCTACAATGGAAAAGCTTCATTCTATAGATGATAGTTTTAGAAAACAACTTGAATCAATGGTTGCAGCCCATCACGCAGAACTCCTACAGCTGACAACTGAAAAACAAAATCAGATTGATGCTGCAAATGAAAAGGTAATGTTCATAAAGATATCTTTTAACATCCAGTGTAACATTTTAAAGTTAAATGGAGTGAGTCATACAATTGTGGTAGAGAAGAAAAAAGGGTAGATTTGAAGACTGTGCATGTAAAGAATGATGTCTACAAGTAGCTGATGCCAAACCAAGATGCTGGTAACACTTAGCTCAGTGAGAGTTGCTGCTCAGGAGACCATCTACTAAATTTTGAACTCCATATGGACCCACTAGTGTAAGACAGCTTCACATACAGCCTAAATTGAGTAAGATAGGTGGTGTAATTTACTGTTATTTTACTTCAGAATGTGGGTCTTCAATTCAGCAAATATTTATTGAATATATATTATATGCTTAACACTCCCGATGGGTTGGGGAATTAGGGACGTGACAGGGAGAGAATTCAGAATTAAAAATAAAATAAAATTGAATTTTTTTTAAAGTTTTTTTAAAAGTTTTTTGAAGTTTAAAGTTCTACAGATGTAGAAATGGAGCTTAATGAAAATAAGGACCAGAACGACAGCCTTAGTAGTCATCCACATAGAAGTCATTGTTTCAGCTATTAGAGTAGAATAGCCTTCTGAGAAAGAGAGATTAGAGAAAAGAGCAGGAGTCTAGCTGTTTCAGAGGAATAACAACAATCAAGGAGCTGGGCAAGAAGACAGTAAAAGAAAGACATTTATTGGGCCATGAAGTAAGAAGAAAACGAGGGATATTAATCAAAGAAATTAAGAAATGATTTTCACAAGAAGATAATTAGCATTGTTAGATGTTTAAAAAATCTACCAAAGAATGAAAATGGGGGGAAGAGCCATTGTGTTTTGTAAAGAAACTGATCCTCAATCAAACATTTTCATTATAATTTGAATTTTTTTCATTGACCAGTGATCTTTATTTTTTCTCCTCTTTTTTAATATTATTTTATTTTTTCCCCAGTTACATGTCAAGAAAATTTTTAGTATTCATTTTTATAAGATTTTGAGTTCCAAATTTTTCTTCCTTTGTCTCTCCCTCCCCCTTCTTCTTTTGAAAATGGTAGGCAGTTTGATATATAGTCTATACATGTACTATCATACAAAAACATTTCCATATTAGTCATATTTGTGAAAGAAGAAATAGATAAAAAGAAAAAAAAACATGAGAGGGAATAAAGTGAAAAAAATATACTTCAATCTGCACTCAGAGTCCATCAGTTTTTTATCTGGACATGGATAGCATTTTCCTTCATGAGTCCTTTGTACTTGTCTTGGATCATTATGTTGCTGAGCTGAGTCATTCATAGTTGATCATCACACAGTGTTGCTGATACTCTGTACAATGTTTTCCTGGTTCTGCTCATTTCACTTTGCATCAGTTCATACAAGTCTTTCCAGGTCTTTTTGAAATCTGCTTATTCATCATTTCTTACTGGACAGTAGTTTTCCATCACATTCATGTATCACAGCTTGTTCAGCCATTCCCCAATTGATGGGCAAGCCCTCAGTTTCCAATATTTTGCCACCATGAATAGGGCTGCTATAAATATTTTTGCACATGTAGGTCCTTTTCCCTTTTTTATAATCTCTTTGGGATATGGACCTTTGGTTTTGCTGGATCAAAGGGTATGAACAGTTTGGTTACTCTTTGGGCATAGTTCCATATTGCTCTCCAGAATGGTTGGATCAGTTCACAACTACACCAACAGTGCATTATTGTCCCAATTTTCCCACTTATCATTTTCTTTTTCTGTCATATTAGCCAATCTAATAGGTATGAGGTGGTACCTCAAAGTTGTTTTAATTTGCATTTCTCTAATCAAAAGTGATTTAGAGCACTTCTTCATATGCTTATGGATAGCTTTTTTTTTCTTCCTCTGAAAACTGTCTGTTCATATCCTTTGATCCTTTATCAATTGGGGAATGGTTTGTATTCTTGCAAATTTGACTCAGTATTCTATGTGTTTGAGAAATGAGGCCTTTATCAGAGACACTTGCTGTAAAGATTGTTTCCCATCTTTCTGCTTTTTTCTAACCTTGGTTGCATTGGTTTTGTTTGTACAAAGGCTTTTTAATTTAATATGATCAAAATTATCTTTTAAATTTTGTAATGCTATCTCTTATTTGCTCATGAATTCTTCCCCTTCCCACAGATCTGACAGGTAGACTATTCCTTGCTCTTCTGCTTTGTTTATGGTGTCACCTTTTATGTCTAAATCATGCCAAAGGTCTGTCATATCTAACTTTTCTACTCTATTTACCGCCTTGGTTTCTTTCTTGTTTGTTTTTTGGTTGGATTTATAGAGTTCTGAGAGGGGACAATTGAGGTCCCCCACTAGTATAGTTTTGCTCTCTATTTCTTCCTGTAACTCATTTAACTTCTCTTTTAAGAATTTGGTTGCTTATACCAGTTGTTGCATATATGTTTAGTATTGATACTGCTTCATTGTCTATGATAACCTTTTAGCAAGATGCAGTTTCCTTCCTTATCTCTTTTAATTAGGTTTATTTTTGCTTTTATTTGGCTGAGATAAGGCTTGCTACCCCTGCTTTTTTTTATTTCAGCTGAAGCATAATAGATTCCTCTCCAGCCCCTTCCCTTTACTCTGTGTGTGTCTCTCTGCTTCAAGTGTGTTTCTTGTAAACAACGTACTGTAGGATTCTGGTTTTTGATCCACTCTGCTATCCACTTCTGTTTTATGAGAGAGTTCATCCCATTCACCTTACAATTATGATTACTACCTTGTGTATTTCCCTCCATCCTATTCTTCCTCCTATCTGTTCTCTCTCTCCTTTCACCCTTTCCCTCCTCACCAGTATTCTGCTTTTGTCTACCATCTTTCCTGATCTGCCCTCCCTTCTGTCAGTCCCCATCCCCCCTTTACTTGATCTCCTCCTCTCCTACTTCCCTGTCAGGTAAGATAGATTTCTACATTCAACTGATTGTGTATATGATTCCCTCTTTGAGCCAATACTAATGAGAGTAAAGTTCAAGTGATGCTTGTCGCCCACCCTTCCATCTTCCCCTCCACTATAATAGGTCTTTTGAGCCTCTTCATGTGAAATAATTTACCCCATTCTACCTCTTCCTTTCTTCTGCACTCATTGTACTCCTCTTTCTCATCCCTTAATTTTTTTTGTCATTCCCTCAAATTCACCTTATACCCGTACTCTATGTCTATGTATATTCCTTCTAGCTGTACTGTTAGTGCTACAATTTTTAAGAATTACAAGTATCATCTTCCCTTGTACAAGTGTAAATAGTTTAGCTCAATTGACTCTCTTATGTTTTCTTTTCCCTTTTTACCTGTTTATGCTTCTTTTGGGTCTTTATATTAGAGGTCATTTTTTTTTTTTGTTTAGTTCTGGTTTCTCCTTATGAAAACTTGAAATCCTGCTATTTCATTGAATGACCATTTCTTCTCTTGATGTATTATGCTTAATTTTGCCAGGTGAGTGATTCTTGAAGTCCTACAACCAAGTTGTAGCTCCACTGCCTTCTGAAATACCATGTTCCATGACATCCAGTCCTTTAATGTTGCAGCTGCCAAGTCCTGTGTGATCCTAATTGTGACTCCCTGATATTTGCATTGTTTCTTTCTGGCCACTTGTAGTATTTTTCCCTTGACCTGATAGTTCTGAAATTTGGCTATAATGTTCTTGGAGTTTTTATTTTGGGGTCTCTTTCCTGAGGTGAACAGTGGATTTTTTTTCCACAAAAAAACATCAAACTTTATTAAACAGACCCAATGGGGGTACAAGTCTTAGGTACTTGACAGGAGTTCCAACACTAGCTGGCTGTCCATCCGACCCCCATACCACCACACTAGAGGGGTCTTTGCTGTAGTCTTCTTCAAGGCCTCTGTGCTGCTGGGCACAGGCCTCAGTTGAGGGAGTCCCCACACTGAGGGTTCACTGGCAGGCGGGTCTGCTGGCCAAAGCCTACCAACAGCCAGTTAATCTTCTTCACAGTCGCCTTGACAGCCAGCCCTTCAGGGCAGTTCAGGTTTCCTTAAGGTACTTGGTTTCCTTCTTGGTCCATTTCAATCTGTGTATATGTGTGTCCACTGAGATACCTGCCACCTTGCCACATGTGCCATCTTGGGTCCAATGCCAGGAAGCGCCACTATCTCTGCCACAGTGGCTGGGATGTCACTGTCATAGTGCTGCTTCAGGATCTTGCTTGTCTGCTTTATGTACTGCACTTTGCTCCTCCAAAAGTCAACTGGGTAGATGAGTTGACCCAGGGTATTGTCATCTATTTGCAAGATGCTGTCTAGAGTCAGGCCTCTCTCCTTAAGCCGCCATATGGCAGCTGCTGTGACCTGGTCTTTGGTCTGGTTGGACAGCATCAGTGACAGTAGCACTTGGTATCACATCACCTATGGAGGAGCATTTTGGTCACAACACTGCTCAGCTCCCGTGTGATCAATAGGCACATCTTTTGACTTCCTCATTTCTCAGATATTCTCCAGCTGCGAGTCTCCAGTTTTGGGGTTCCCACTTGGGTTTCTTGGGAGTGCTGTCATCATTGTCCACATCTCCATCTCTGTTCAAAGACTCGTAAGCCATCTCAAGTTTTATCTCCATTGTTATCTGAGTGGTTTTGGTTTTTCCCTTTTCCCTGTGACTGCCTCTTTGCCAAGGGACAGTGGAAGCTCATCCTCTGTGAATAGGTGCTGCCCAGAATGGCGGCTCATGCAGTGGGTCACCATCCTGGGTCCATTTGGGGTGCTCATGTCTAATTACAGGATTTTTCAATGCCTGTTTTGCCTTCTGGTTCCAGGACATCAGGGAACTTTTTCTTGATACTTTCTTGAAAGATGGTGTTCAGGTCCTCTTTTTGATTATGACTTTCAGGTAGTCCAGTGATTCTGTCATTGTGTCTCTTGGATCTATTTTCCAGGTATTTTATTTTTCCAGTGAGGTATTTTACATTTTTTTCCATTTTTTCATTCTTCTGAATTTGATTGATTCTTGATGTCTCATAGAGTCATTAGCTTCCACTTGCCCATTTCTAAATTTAAGTGTTTTTTCCTTAATTAGCTGTTGTACTTTTCCATTTGGCTAATCGTACTCTTTGAGGAGTTATTTTCTTCAGTGGGTTTCTGTATCTCCTTTTCCATTTGGCCAATTCTACCTTTTAAGCAGTTTTCTAAGCTGTTGACTCGTTTTTTCATAATTCTCTTGCATTACTCTCGTTTCTTTTCCCATTTTTTTTTCTGCCTCTTTTATATGATTTTTAAGCTCCTTTTTGAGCTCTGGGCTTGACACCACTTCCTGTTTTTCTTTGGGGTTTTGCCCATAGATGTTTTGACATTGTTGTCCTCTTCTGAGTTTCTGTCTTGGTCTTCCTTGTGACCGTAATAACTTTCTGTGGTTAGATTCTATTGTTTTTGCTCATCTTTTTTTTTTCTTGGCCTTTTTCCTTTCTTTTAAATTAGAACTTTGAACCTGGGGTGGAAGGAGCACTGTCACAGGCTTCTTGTGCCAGTGGCTGCAGGTGCTGGAAATTTACCTGGTGTAGCACTGATGTTGCCCTTAGGCCCGAGGGACCCTCATGTCTTGTGCTGTGCTGAAGTGATGAGGTGAGGGATAGCTGGTGCTGCTGGAGGCTGTAGGGGGTCTGACAGCTTACCTGGTGCTGAGCTGGGGTCCCAGTGGTGGTGTGTGGCGTGTGCTGAGGCCCAGTGGGGTGTTTCTGTTTTTCCCCGGGGCTTCACTGAAGCAGTGGAGGTCTGGCCTACTATCTGCTCATGCTGGAGGATGCCTTTTTGCCTGGGGCTACACTGAAGCTCTTGGTGGTTCTGGGAGCTGGAGTCTGAGGGTTCCCTTGGCTATGCTGAGGCATGTGGGGAGTCCTGATGTTGGCATTTGCCTGCTCCACCACACTGGAGCTCAGGATCTCCCACTGGTCTGCTGAGACGCTTCCTGTCCTGGAACGCACTCCCCTTTTACCCAAGGGACAGACACTTTTCTTGCCACTCTTCTGAGTTTCTTGGGCCAAAAGATTGTTTCACTCTGTCTTTTTGCTGGTTCTGCTGTTCCAGGATTTGTTTTGGAGTTGTTTGGAGGTGAATATGGGAGAGTTACAGCAATTTACTGCTTACTCCAACATCCTGGCTCCCAGAAGCCATGAATCACTCATCTCAATTTTTAAGTAGATCCACTTTAGTAATTTTAATTTTCACTTTATTTTAGTAATGGTAATTTTTAAATGTCACAATACAAAATCTCTAAAATCTACAGATTCTATGTACTAGACAGATTAACCCATATATTTTTCTTCCATTATTCATTTTTAAAACATATGTTGATATTAAGAAAATTTGAAATGTTTTAAATCTTGATTGTCAATTTAGGTTTCCCAGGTTGAAGATGAGATGCGTCAACTTCTGCGTGAAACAGCACGAAACAAAAAAATCATGGAGGAAAAAATAAAGCGACTTTTACTTTTGCTTTAAGTGATATTCAGCAAGGATTTTGATGGTCCTGAGACTTCATCAAATTGAAATGGTCTTGCAAATCTAAATCATACTTTCAGCAACCAAATATTTTAACTGCTGTGCCTTTAAAACCCCTTTCTACACATTCCAATATGAATATATTTTAAAGCCTTTTTTGATCAAGTATTTACTAAATATATGTACAGTTTTCTTAAATTATTTATATTTATATGTCTGGGAATGTACTGTCAAAATAAACTAAAGGCACTTTTGTCTTTTTTCTGTAGTAGAAGTTGTGTCCAAATATACATACTATTTTAAAAACAGGATTTTGTTGCTTTTCTATGAGAGGAAAGGCATAAGTAAACCCAACAATATTTTTAATCATTACCACCTCATGGTGACTGCTAAGACTATAGCAAGGGATCACTAGGTTGATGGTTTTAGCAAAACATCTAAAATGACTGTAAAGCTAATGTCAATCAATCTATATTGATTTAGTTCCTATACTATGTGCCAGGCACTGTGCTAGGTGCTAGGGCTACAAAAACAAAGGTGAAACAGTTTCCTTGAGAAGCCTACAATTTCGTGGGGGGTGTGGGAGAGTTAATAACATGTACCTATGTTTATAGGTATATATACAAAGTAGAGACAAGGTAACTGGCATGTGGGGAGTAGCCCCACTAGCAGCCAGGGGATTGGAACAGGCTTTATGTGGAAGGTGATACTTCAGTTGAGCCATAGAAAACACTAAGCATTCTACAAGAGAAAGTGAGAAGGAAATAGATTCCAGGTATAGATAACAGCCAAAACAGAGGAATTGAGATCGGAAATAGGAATGCACCCTCCAGAGAACAGTGAGAAAGTCAGTTTGTTTAGCTGTACTTTGCCCAAACAGAGGTAATGTGTAATAAGATTGGAAAGGTAAATTGGAGCCAACCAGAGGAGTCTAATCTTAAACCTAGAAGTAATAGGGAGCCTCTAGGGTGCTCTGATTGGGGTAGTGGCATGATCAGACCTGCACCTGTCAGAATAACTCTGGCAGCTATAGAGAGGTTGAATTGGAATAGGGAGAAACTTTACGTAGGGAAACCATTTAGAAATCTATTTCAATAGTCTAGGCAAGAGATGTTGAGGATCTGAGGTAGGGTGGTAACTATGTGAGTAGAGAAAAGGGGACAGACAAATGCAAGAGAATTGTGGGAAGTAATGATATCCAACATTTATGTAGTATTTTGTTTGCAAAATGCTTTATAGACATCCTCACAATAACCTCAGAATAATCCCCATTTTACAGATAAGGAAAATGAGGCAGGCAGTTGAAGTGGTTTGCCCAGAATCATAACTAGTAAGCGTCTGAGGCTGGATTTGAACTCAGGTCTTCCTGACTCTAGGTCCAGTGCTCTATCCACTACACTCCCTACCACTTCAGGAAAAAGTGACAGCATTTGTCATTTCTGACAAATGATTGGATATGTTGGATAAATGAGAAAAAATTGAGAATGATCTGAATTTGGGTAATTAAGAAGGTGGTGCCTTCACAGGAGAAATAGGGATCTATTGGTTTTGTTTGTACAAAGGCTTTGTACAGAGCTTTCCAAGTATCAAAATGCAAAGCGTTTCCAGTATTCTATAAAGAACATTGCCTATCAGAACATCTGGAGGTGGAGTTGAAAGTAGGAATTGTTTTACTCTTTGTGTTTATCTCCCCAGTCTCTAGCACAATGCCTGGTGCATAGTAGTCATTATAATCTTACCTGACTCCAGTCACTCCAACATTCCTCTTAGTACTTTTGTGTATCTCTCTACAACTAGCGTTTGTTTTGAGGACAAAAGATAATGACTTCTGTTTTGGACATTTTGAGTTTGAGATGCCAAAATATCCAATTTTAAATGAACAAGAATGGAGTTCAGGATAGAGACAATATAGAGATAGTAACTACATCTGTGGGAGCTGATGTTACCAAGAGAAAGAATACTGGGGGGAGGAGGGGAGCCTGGAACATAAGACTAAAATGCAGTATGTAGATGATGATCTAAGTAAAGAAAGCAGGAGGAGTCATCACACTAGTAGCAAGAGAACCAGGAAAGGGTTGTGTTGTAAAAGGTTGGAGGTCAGAGTATGCTGGAGCAGAAGGTGATCACCAAAAAAGACTTCGAAAGTTATGTGACCTTGGGTACCTTCTTGACCTTTTGAGGGCTCAAATTACTCATCTGTAAAATAAGGGAGTTCAACATGTTACTCCCCCATCTCCGTCCCTTTGAACAAGCTGTCCCCTATGCCTGGAATTCTCTCCCTCTCCTTTGATTCTCAGCTCAGGTAGTAGCACCTCCTTCGAGATTGGTTTTCTGATTTCCCCGTTGTTAATGCCCCTTTTCAAAATCATTGTTTATTTTGCACATATACTATGCTGACTTGGAGCAGCTGGGTAGTGCAGTGGATAGAATGCCAGACTAGAGTCAAGAAGACTCATCTTTCTGAGTTCAGATTTAGCCTCAGTAACTGTGTGATCCTGGGTAAGTCACTTAACCTTGTTTGCCTCAGTTCCTCATCTGTAAAATGAGCTGGAGAAGGAAATGGCAAACCACTCCAATAGAAAACTCCAAATGGGGTCACAGAGAGTCAGACACAACTGAAAAATAACTTAACAACAACAACAACTATTCTTACTTATCTGCAAATATGTATATATCCCCCTCTCTAGTAAGTTCCTTGAGGGTACTTTTTTTTTAACTTGTTATCTGCAGCCCATAATAGTCATTTAATAATTTCTTGGTTGATTACTAATTTTCTTACTTTTCTCCATTACTTGGACTTGTATACTCTGCTCTTTTCTGTGACTTCTGTTCTTTCAGACACCATACATAGTTTGCACCCATATGTGATCCACCCCCAGTTCTTTACCGACAGCTCTAGCCGAGCATTTTTATTTAGATGTTCTGCTGCCAACATTAAACATTTTAATATGAATTCATCTTCCATAATCCCTTATATTTCTCTGTTTTTTGTTCAAAGCCCTTCATAACCTAGCTCCCTCCTACCTTTCTAGTCTTCTTACCTACTCTCCAACACATACTCTCATTTCCAGTGACAGTGGCCTCCTCACTGTTCTGCAAATAAGACACTCCCCATCTCTTAATGCCAGGCATTTTCTTTGGAAGTGCACGCCCCCATGCCTAGAATGCACTCCCTCTGCATCTTTGCCTAAATGGCTTCCCTGGCTTCCTTTAAGTCTCAACTAAAATCCCATCTTCTACAGGAAGCCTTTCCCAACCCCTCTTAATTCCAGTGCCTTCTCTTTTTTAATTATTTCCTATTTAACCTACATATACCTTTCTTGTTTGGTTGGTTGTTGTCTCCCCTATTATTAGATTGTGAGCTTCTTGAGGGCAGGGACTGTCTTTTGCCTCTTTTTGTATCCCCCACACTTAGCACAGTACCTGGCACTTAATAAATATTTACTCACTGACTTGAAGAAAGGAATAACAGCTGAGTTTTTCATCAGCTGTGGTTCTTCATTCATCCTTTGATCACTATATATCAAAAAGGATTATATCGGTTCTTATTGGACTTGCCCACCTAGTACACCAAACACACAGAAGCAAGAACAATGTTCTTTAAATATTACTTGGTTTATGTTATTCCTATAGTATGGCTCTCAGTTGCTTCAATGATAAAATTAAAACTCCTAATTATTAATTTCCAGGCTTAACTTTGTTCCTCTTTACCTAAGTGCCACCATCTTTTGCCAGACTCATGGTCTTAACTCCAAGAAAGTAAATCTATTTACTCCCCAGATTTTAAATCACCTGCTCCTACTTGAGATCATATATCACAAATGCCATTTCCCATACTTCCTCTTTACTATGCCAAACCACATTCCTTCCTTCAAAGTGCTATTGAAAAATGGCTTTGTCCATGAAACCTTTTCATTACAATCTTACCTGACTCCAGTCACTCCAACATTCCTCTTAGTACTTTTGTGTATCTCTCTACAACTAGCATTTGTTTTGATTTATACTTTAAGTGTTTTTTTTTCTGCTACTTTTAGAAGCAAAGCTTCTTAAGAAAATCTTTGCAATTTACCTAAGATCTTAAAATTCAATTCAAACTCAATTCAAGGCAAGTGTCACATGATTATCAAAAAAACTAATGTGATCTTCGGCTGCATGAAGAGAAATGCTGTCTAATATATAGGATATGATAGTTCCACTGTACTCAGCCCACATCTGGAGTATTGTATTAACTTCTGAATCATCTGTTCCTAACAAACTGAAGAGGATTTAAGGGAGGATGAACAGATGGTGAAGGGACTGAAGAGTATGTCTTATCAGACTCTAACACACTGAAGATGTTTAGTGCGGAAGAGATAACATTTAGGAGGCAAATAGCAGTTGTCTAAATTCTTGAAGGACTGTCACACAGAAGTATTAGGCATCTCCTCCTTGGCTCCAGAAGGTAGAACTCAAAGCAATGAGGGGAAATTGCAAAAAGCCAAATTTAGGCTTAATATAAGGACAAATTTTCTAATAATTAGATTCTCCAAAAATGAAATAGGCTGCCTAAGGATGAAGTAGTGGAGGGGGATACTACTTCACCACACTTATGAATGAAATAGGTACTTAACAATAATGATGGTTACATCAAAAGGGAAAAGTTGTAACTGAGGTAAACCAGAAAAGGTTCCATTGAAGAGGATGCTTTGGAGTTTGAAGGATGAGTGGGAATTCAATAGGCAAGGGAGAGTGTGGAAGACAGTACTGGAACAGCATCAACTTTAGAAGCAAGGATATGGGAAAAGGGTCTTAGAGGAGAGTAATCCACTGGCTATAGGATAGAGTGCATGGAGGAGAGTAATATCTGTCAAGTAGGTGTTTATTAAATGCCTACTATATACCAGTTACTGTGCTAGGCACTACCATGTGATAAAGCTGGAAAGGTAGTGTGATGCCAGATTGTGGAGACCCTTGAATGTTGGTCAAGAGTCTGTTCATTCTGAAGGCAGCAAGGAGTCCCTGAAGTTTTTGTACGGCTAAATGTCATGACAATCAATGTCTATGCCCCAGGAAGATTATTCTAACTGAATCGTGAAGTATGGATTAGAAGAAGAAGAGATGGAAGGAAGCAGGAACACTTGTTAGGAGGATATAATAATAACTATTAGGGTAATGGAAATAGAGAGGAGGGTAGAGGTGGGAGATCCTATAGTAAGATA